CCCCAAAACCCCAAAACCCCAAAACCCCATAATCCTTATAATATATTGAATCCAAAATGTCAAACTTCGAGGAACAAAGAACCTCAATTCTGGGTGGGTTGCTTCATACATGGATTTAGAGCCATAAAGTTTTGGCATAAAGTATCACTGGAGATTCTATCAGAGTTAATACTAATATCTCATTTGTAGTTACTCTAGGGTTTTATATATCGCCTTTAAGAGTCTGCCAATTATCATGTTGCTTTAGAGTCAAATGAAATTAACGAGCAAATTTCAGAGGATTACATAAGAGGATTTGAAGAGTAAGCTTACCATGGACATATACCAGAGAAATGCCCATCATTCGCATGCTTTCTAAATTACCTTTAGGTATAAGACTCATGAAGCGCCAGAATGGGTTTCAGAACGATTAGAAGAATTTAGAGAAAAACACCGTAAGTTTTAATACTACTTTTTATTATCTAAAAACTAGTTATATTTCAGATTTTGGAGACCAAGAAGTATTTCGCTTCTAATCAGTAATAATAATTTTAATTTCTCAAGTAATTTTAATCCTCTTCTCGAAATATATAATTACACTTTCTTACCAATACACTCCAATATACATCCCCAAGATCTCTCTGTAAAACTCCTATAATCCTAAAAATAACTTCCCAGCCAACACCAAAGCCCCTTAACCACACACTCCACTCCTAAAACCCTCTAAATCTCCCCTCCCACCACCCTATCCCCTACCCCCCTACTTCCCCTCCCCCTAACCATCTACAGCTATTTCCTTACCCAAAAATCTACTCGACCTCACCCACAGTGAGATAATAACTGCTTCAGTTTCAGACACTGACGGAAGCATACCTGAACAAGCAAAACAGAATTTTAAGCAGAGGAAGAAGACTGGAGATTTTAAAGTAAATTTTATTGATTATGTGTAGAGAGGAGCATTAAGAGACAAAAATATGGAGAAGAAGTGAAGGGAGATTGAGAGAAGTATTAAGAGGAAGGTGAATTAAGACCAAGAGACAGATGAACAAGAGTAGGGTGTATATGAGAAATATTATGAAGAAGAGTAATAGATGGAAAGAGTATTATAAAGGATCAGGTTCGTATTATGATCCTTCTGTGTAAGTGGAGTTGCTTGATTTTATTAGAACGAGTAAGCAATTTTCAATGATTATCCTAAGATAGTTCTAAAAATGAATATTCTTACAAAGGAGAAATGAGTCCATCGAAATCTAAAGCATCAGAGAAGCGCTTCCAACATCGGGAAAACTGTATGAATGGATCAGTACCCTATAGCATATAAAACGTCTCAAACAAGTATCACAGAGGATGAGAAGAATTCACAAAGAATGACAAGGGCAGGCTCTAGTGACCAAGAAAAAATATTGTTCGATGCAATGAAGGGAGAGTATTATTCCCAACTCAATAGTAAATAATACTTCTCCTGTGAAAGAATCAGTAAATCTTATTATTATGCCGATAGATTGATAATACTAATCAGGTTTCTTCAAAATTCTCGATAAATCTACATTCTCTGAAGTAAGATAGCCAAGTTGATTTTGCTCTTAGTCATACTGAACAGAATGAAGAGGAAAAGATCCCTTATATCTGCCCAGGAAGTGTGAAGGAAATCAACAAATCCTCTATATCTAACTCCTATATAAAGGTAAGAATTAGTCTCTGCTCTTCAGCTAGGAACTGGAGGTTTGAGACTGTATGATTTCTTTGAGTTTTAAGGCCTAGAGATTCATCAAATAAAATTTTAAATTGAGTAAAACTTTTATTTAAATTCTTAGAAAATCTAGTTCATATTAAATTCCCACAGTCTCAAATTAGAAAAATTCTTGAAAGCATTATATTAATCACAAGGGTGGGAATAAATTAGCTCCAGTTGATTTCTTTCATAATGCCAAGAAAAGGTTTCAACAGATTTTTATGAAATCTCTACATCACTCATAATTAAATGTAATCTCAGGACGGATTATTCAAGATAACTAATCAATACGAATCATTTGAGGTATCGATGACTAAACCAAAGAAAGAGTTTAAGTAAAACAAAATTGGACCAAAAGGTAATCTGTGATACTCCTCCAAGTATACAAGAAACTCCGACTCATAGTAAAATTAGGAGTCAGAGGACCCTTGACTTCAAGTCCAATCAGAGCCATTGCAAGCAGGCTAAAGTCTATCACACATCTTCTCAAATGTATTTATTACTTTAACAATAGAGGTGAGAGCAGCTCTAGAATTTCTACGAAGGATAACCTACATAAGAGACTCAAGAAGCATCTGGGATACTTCGGAGGAAATATTAAAACCAGATTGCTAGGTAGTTCTAGTTATACTAAGTCTAATATCGCTGATAGTAGTGTAAAGACACCTCACGGTAAGTAACATGTGGTAACATGTTTAGTTAATCATTTTGGGCCTGAGAAGTTTAAAAGCCCAAGAAGTTCCAAACAGAAGAGGAAAATGCGCAATTATAACACTACTAAGAAGAAGGTTCTGCTTCTTCCAGACTATACTTCTGAAAGTAGTCTGTTAGTAAGAACACTAAACAAGAAAAGAAAAATGAAAAATTTAAAGTAGATTTTGATAAATATTAATGGGAAAACTAAGCATGCTGGATTACTAGAATATTAAAAAGTTTAAGCTAATAGTTTTTGTAAGAGGAATCAAGGAAAATTATATCTTACTTGAGTATTTAGGCTTGTATAGATATATAGAGACAAATCTGCAACTGATTTGATATCACAGCTGAAGATTGCTTAGAGCATTTATGATAAGAACAAGAAATCATAACCTCTGCAACACTTCTATCAATCGGGGTACCTTCTTTAATACTATTCTTCCCTAAATGACCTCCTTCTGTCCACCCATATACAACCCCTCGGATCGTCTCCACATCCCACATAATCTCTTCTCTTTCTATACCTCCGAAACCCCTTGGGAGCCAACCTTCTCTATTCCTCTCTTCTCTGGCACTCATTTCCATGATTTCCCTTATAAATTATAAGCTAATTTTAGCCCAAGAATACAGTGCGGGGTTTTGGGGTTTTGGGGTTTTGGGGTTTTGGGGTTTTGGGGTTTTGGGGTTTTGGGG